AGAATCATTCATGTAGTCACAAATAGTATATATTCACTATTTTCGGGAAAAAAAATCACCCTTTCATGTTTATTATAGCATTATTTCCAATACTCCAGGCACAGAAACAGCCTAAGTGGCCATCAATAGTTGAGTGGATAAAGAAAATACCACATATACACAATGGAGTACTGTGATGCTTGGCTTTCTGTCCTGTGTACTGTCATTTTGTTTCAACTATAATATCTAAGAATTTTAATCTAGGCATTCTGAATTAAAAGCCCAGGTAAATGATCGAGCAAACAAATGAATGCCAGCACAAATCCAAAGGTACAAGTCTCTTCTCCATTACAAAAATTCCAGTGTCAGTGTAGCAAATTTAGTTTCTAAAGTATTCAAGTGTTGTAGACCTTATTAGGTTTCTTCTCGCTGTCAAAGAGGGGTGCTTGTTAGACTCATTCAAAGTGACATGGTCCACTTAAGTACAAGATCAAAGTCTTCACATAGGCATCGGTCACAAATTCAATTATGAGTCAGTTAGTGTAAGTTGGAAAGCCTTTGGGGCTTCATAGCTATTTAGGCCTCTCTGGAAGATGAGGTCTTCCCCTGGATGAATTTTTATAACTTCCTTGACAATGGAGTCAGGGAAGAGTTCCAGGAATGTGAAGAGAAGCTGCTTCCTTTTGAGTATTCCACTTGAGCTTCTCTGAAATTATCATGCTACACTATAAGGGTCTTTGTTTTCAGTGACACGTTATGAACTTTCCTGCTGGATGTGCATGTCCAGTCTACCAAAACAAGCATACTGGGGCAAAAGCCAGAATCTCTTTGGAACTATTTTAATTACTCTAGGCAATTAAATTCTTCACCAGAAGCATCTGACAAGAAGCCAAGTACGAGCTCAAAAGGGAGGAATGCATTGTATGTCTCTGATGGAGACATACAATGGAGATTCTGTGATGAATGTGGCTTGTAGGGTCACCAGCAACCCTATGACCTTATGTCTACAGATTTAGATGCCATTGGATCTATGCAATAAAAATTTCCCCTTAAATCCAGAATTGGCATGTTTCCCAGAACTTAGGATGCTTCTTAGAACTGATTGTTTACTTCTACTTGGAGTCTATTTTTTGTTAGCATTCTTCCTGTGAACAAAAGATACTCTAGCTCTTCAAATGTAGAGCCAAACATGAGACATCCCATGTCATAGAGAAGCTATGAAACATATTGGTGTCCACATGAAGTTGCAGTTTTTAATCTAACTTTTAAGTTGAGCAAAATATAACCAGTTTAGACCTCATGACCCAAGGGAAGAGAAAAGACATGAACCAAAGCCAAAATTACATCCTGTAATCAGATACTTACACCATTCAGACTCTAGAGGAGCTCGGAGCTCAGAGGCTGGCGGACTGTAAGCTTCACTTCAGTATTTAAAGTGGACAATGTAGAAATATCTACATGATACAATACATTTGTCCAGGGAATTTGTTCTTAAATCAGTGTCATCTGATACTTCCATTTAAAACCTAACATTCTATCCTAATCATATACATTTCTATTTAAAATTACCTAAGGTCTGTTTTTTTTTTTTTTGTCATGATTTTTGTTCTTGAAAACTGACTCATGACTCTCAAAGCTGTCCACACTGCTTGCTATTCTCAGTCAACTCCAGACTAAGTAAGTTCAGGTAGAAAAACCAAATAAACAGTAGGGATAGTTGCTTTCTAAGGTTACTGTGAAGGTGTATGATAAGATGGAGACTTGAATAGAAAAAGAAGAGCAGAGATTGAACACAATGTATGGAAATCATGCTCTTAGTTGTGTCAAGAGATATGCTACAGCTAAAAAAACAACCTTCAGGAAAGGTTCTCTTCAACCTCAAAATTTCTTTCTTTCAATGTTGGTATTTTTCTTTTTTTGTGGTGAGGGGTATGGGGAGCATGGGGGGCTGGGGGAGATGGGAAGGAATAGGAAGGGGAAAAAAAGGAGGAGATAACAATGCTTGATAAGAAATGTACTCATTATCTTGCCCATGTAATATAACCCCTCTGTACAGTATTTTCACAATAAAAAAAAAAACAAAAAAAATTATTATCTTTAAGGAGTTGCCATTTAACAAAACAATACAATGTATCTTTTTAAATATATATTTTATTGCAAAGCTACCGTACAAAGGGGTTACAATTACATGAGTAAGGTAATGAGTACATTTCTTATCAAGTATTTTTATTTCAGTATAAGACATCGAGTAGCTGGTATTGAAGGTAGCTACATAACAGAAGAATGAATGTCTAAGGCAAAGGAAGATCTGTAAGATCAATTTCTATAAGCTTGTCCACATAATGATGAGTGACTGTGCCTGGAAGTGAGTAGGAGTTTCAGTTGTTCTCAAACTGACAAATACTGATGACACCGGCTACTGGAAACAAGAGTCAGATACCTAGAAGTCAAGAGTTTCCATATACACTATTGCTTTTACCATAATCACTGAAGAGAAAAGGAAGGCAGAGGACTATTGGTAAACTAGATACCCCATGTATTCAACTTGAAATGCAGAATCTCATATCAATAGAGTATAGGACTGAGTTTATTAATGTAATTCTTACCTAAGGAAGAGATTGAACAAAATACTGTTACCTTGACTTGTAATACTTCGGCGAAGTCACTGAGATTACATATAAATTATTCTATCTATTTCTGAACCACATAAAGCTTGGGGGACAGACAGCCCAGCTCCTAAGTGTTGAGCTATTCCTCTAGTTGTGCAATTTGTGCAAATCTATAGTGCTAGGTCATCTGATCATACCATCTGAGGAGATCTAACTTTTTTTTACAGAGGCTCTGCCAAATATCAGATCTTTTCATTGTAACTTTAAACACATCTGTGGGGAGAAAGGGAATCATAGTATCTGGGATACTGGGATACAAGAGTTGAAAGAATCACTGTAGTCGAGTATTTATGCCTAAACTTGGACTTCTCCTATATAAATGAATGTACTGCATAAAGTCTGTGCTGGGAAGTGAGCGGGAGTATCTAGTACATTTGATAAGTTCAACTCCCAGGAAATAGTATCACATACCTAAACCGCAATTTAAAACTGGAAATAGGAACCATCTAAATCATATGAGAGAATATTCAAAGATGTTTAAATACAAGTAGCTGGGCAGTACATATGATTTTGCCAGAATGGAGGCTTACAGGATAGAACATGGCTTGAATTGTGGAAGCAGTGTGTGTGTGTGTGTGTGTGTGTGTGTGTGTGTGTGTGTGAGAGAGAGAGAGAGAGAGAGAGAGAGAGAGAGAGAGAGAGAGAGAGAAGTTTGAATTTTACTTTCTCCTTTCAAGACTCCTAAAGTCTCATATAAAAAGAAAGAAAAGAAACTTTTGCATAAAATTTGGATGAGACTAGAATGGTGAAAGTTGATAAAAACACAGGATAATTCTCTATGCAAACAATTACAAAAATGTTCTCTCCATCTTTCCCTCCCTCTCTCTGTCTCTGTCTCTGTCTCTGTTTGTCTCTTCTGTCTCTGTCTGTCTCTGTCTCTGTGTCTCTGTCTCTGTCTCTGTGTCTCTGTCTCTGTCTCTGTGTCTCTGTCTCTGTCTCTGTGTCTCTGTCTCTGTCTCTGTGTCTCTCTCTGTGTCTCTGTCTCTGTCTGTCTCTCTCTCTCTGTGTCTCCCTGTCTCCATATTTTATGTACTGGTACCAGGGCTTTATCTCTATCTCTGGCACTTCACCACCACTGACAGTTTGCTCAGGGCTTGGAGCCCTATCACTTGTGTCATGTATCAGCCCTGAATTTTGCTGGCTGATTGTAGATGACATCTAGCAGACTTCTCGGCCCAGACTGGCTTCAAACTAAAATCTTCCATGTTTCAGCTGCCTGAGTGGCTAGGATTAGAGGTGTGAACCTCTGGTGTTTATTTTCCTATAAAATCTACATCATTCCTTAGCATGCCTTTTTGATGTGTCCTGTAAAACTGTAAAACTTAGATAATTTTCTGCATTTGCATAGAAAAACCTGTTATATTTTATTATTTGGAATCCCAAAGATTTCCAGTTAGACTTCCAGTTCTGTCATTGATTAGTCATTGCTAGTCATTGATTCGATAGTTATTTATTGATTAATTTTCTCTTTGTGGAATTTACTTTGCCAGTAAAAGGAGCAGCTTACCATAGTACAATTAATCAGGATATGCAATAACAGGTGTAATGCCTGGGGATCTGTTTATTACAGAACCATTTCCTTATACTTGGCCAGAAATCATTCTCCAGAAATGAATACAAAAAGACAACCCAATCCTATTTCAAAATATTTTCCTGGCCAATATTCAGCTTGACTCGATTTCCCCGCATGGATAAACCTACATAGTAGATCAGCATTTGTCATATGTTAACCAATGTCCTTTGTATTGCATGAAAAATTTAATCAGAGTCACATCACTTCTTTTAAAAAAACTTAAATGATCAGAAGGCACATATTTTACAGATCTAAACAATACAACAAGCAAATCTAAACAAAACAAGACAACCTTTGTTCCAAACTATACCAAATTGCCCAGCTTTTAAAATAAAATGTACCATTTCCAGTCATATTCCTTCCTCTTCTTTGGGACTGATGATGATTATGTAAAAAAGTACTAAAAGTACATTCATCCTGAATGCCTGAACATATCAGAGGTAGGATTCCTGGAAATACACTCTACTATACTCCATCACTAGTAATAGGAAAACCATCGATGTACAGGACTTCTAGAAATTCCACACTAAGAAAGGAACTTGGTTTCAGATCTTACCTGATGGAGGAAGGGACTAACCATCCACACAGCACAGCCGACTGAATACCCCGGGCTGCTCCTCTTAGAGAAGTTAGGTCCAGGAGGTTAACCTCTGCTTGTCTACAGGGGACCCTAATGTGTGCATAGGGTGGGGTATGGGAAGGGGCAGTGGAAAAGCTGCAGCCAGCAGCCGGTAATGATCATCCTGGAGTGGACAGGACAGCAAGAAAAACGCACTTACTTGCTGCCAAGTGACAGAACTCCACCAGCCCCTCAGGGAACCCTGGAGAACAGGGCTCCTTGGCACCCTCTCTTCTTCCTGGGCTTATGGTTTCTTCAGGGATCTCTGATGTCCTGAGCGCTGGTTGCTTAGGTGTGGCGACCTCAGCGTCTGCCTTCTCCAGCTCTGCAGGAAGCTGGCCCCAGAGAGCTGTCAGCTGGAAACAGAGTGACGGGGCTGCTCCTTAGCCTAGAGCCAGCGGACTGCCAGGTGCCTATGGAGCCGCCGCCCATTGGCTACAGGGAAGTTGTTTTTGTCTCCCTCGCACTCCGCCCTCCCTTCTCTCAGCCAAGTCACTCTTCCCCCGCCCTCATCTCCAGACCAGAGCTGGGCTTCAGCATCGGGATCTAGGGAGCTTGGGCGGTGGTGTTGATAAAGCAGGGATGGATGAAGAGAGCAACTGGCTGCAGCTGCGGTTCTCCTCCTCCACCTGCTTGGGGACCATGTCTGCAAGAGGAACTCGGGGGGGGGGGGGCTCTAAATGGGAAGGGAAGGGGGCTGGCCTGGAGGGCTGGAACCAGAGAAAAGCCAGAAGAAAAAGAGAAGGGTACAGCTACATCCTGTGTGTGCGTGTGTGTGTGTGTGTGTGTGTGTGTGTGTGTGTGTGTAAGAAGAGGCAGCAAAGGCAGGTTCTTTACCTGTCCTTTACTTTTTAATTCCCTCCCCTGGTAAAACATATAGGAAATGTTGTGAGCCTACAGCATGCAGAGATGGACGTGGCTGTAGTTATGTGACAATTCTGTTGTCTGCAGTCGTAGCTGTTTAGGACACAATTGGTTGAAACTACTTGCTTGTTGTATATTTTCCCCCCACTGTGTTGATTTGAAACATGGTACCTACAGGTAGAATTAATTGAGTTTGGGGTGCAAGAAAGAGGTGTTGGGGCACCTTTCCTGATGTAGTATGGAGGATTTTCCACAATGCCAAACACTCATTCTGCAGCACCACCACATCCAGTTATCACACCACTTTACACAAAGCTTCACTAGTATGTCTCCAAATAAGAACACTGAAATGATTTCACACAATAACATCATCATGCCTAATCAGCACTAATTATGCTGCAGTATCAAATGCCTACTTGATTTTTTTTTAATTTATTTTTTTGTTGGTTATGGGATTTAAACTCAGGGCCTGAGTGCTGTTCCTGAGCTTTTTCACTCAAGGCTGGTGCTCTGCCATGTTGAGCCGCAGCACTCCTTCTGCTTTTCTGGTGGTTACCTAGAGGTAAGAGTCTCACGGACTTTCCTGCCCCATGATCCGTAGATCTCAGCCTCCTGAGTAGATAGGATTATAGTTGAGAGCCACCAGTGCCTGGCTTGATGATAGTTTATAACTTTTGATTTCTTCCTATGTATTCAAAGAGTAGAAGCTCCAGACCTACCTGTTCTGCCATGTTAGGAAAAACCTGCCCTTTCTCACTGTACTTAAACCAGATAAGTCCTGGAGATACAGCTTCTTTGGAGGTCTATTTCTTGGGAGTTGTTTATTCTAACCTCAAAGAATTCACATCAGGAATGTGGGTGGGTATGCTGGTCTAATTTGTGGTCCATATTACTACTACATCAAGAAATCAGAACCTTCCTTTGAAAATATGCCCTCTCTCTGAACCATCCTTTTCTTCTTCCAATGTTTTCTTCTTCATAATCATCCAACTATAGCCATTCTTATTGCTTGAAAATTTATATTATGATTGACAGCTTTCTCTTCCATCCAAACTCTTACTGTCACTCTTAACCACCTTCACATCTATTTGGATGCCAATAGCAATTTGGATGAAACCTGCAATGGCCTAACTGCTGAGTATGTCCCTCGTAGATTCTCTTCTACTACATACCACCTCAGCTCTAATTCATAGACTCACAACTTGAATTTAGTTATAGAAATGACTTTGCTTTCCCTCATAGCACTTACCTGTCTTACTTATTCAAATCCATTGCTCATTTGTGTATTTTCTGCCATGCTCCACTAGACTGTATGGCTGCAGGACAGGTGGAATGATTTCTTTTCTACCATAACATAGTGCTTTGAACAGAGGTTACAATGTAACACATATGGAGTAAATTTCCTAAAGGAATGGCTAGCATGCATGAGCTGCCCCAATAGTACTTCTTGAATGTGGTAATTCACCCATAAAAACAGACCATACAACATATAAATATGAAAGACATAGGAAGACATAGACATAGATATGTTTTCATTCTGCTCCATGGCTTGAGCATATTGTCCTTACTGATTTGCTAATATATGAATACGTAAGTTTGAAAACTGCCACAGGCTACAAAAACTGGATACAAAGCTTGGACAGAGCTGGCTGAAAGAAAATGGTAAATAATAGCAATGTCAAGCTTGTCTACAGGGAATGCAAGAGCTCAGGGAAATAAAGCAGTCAGCATCAAAAAGGAGCTCTAATTTTCCCCCAGTAGTCATTTTAACAGGAAGAGGGTAATGTCTTACTGGATATTATCATAAAAATAAGTGATAAGAAGTGTTGGAGCCGGGCGCTGGTGGCTCACGCCTGTAATCCTAGCTACTCAAGAGGCTGAGATCTGAGGATCGCGGTTCAAAGCCAGCCCGGGCAGGAGAGACCATGAGACTCCTCTCTCCAATAAACCACCAGAAAACCGGAAGTGGCGCTGTAGCCCAAGTGGTAGAGTGCTCGCCTTGAGCTGAAGCGCTGAGGGACAGTGCCTAGGCCCAGCGTTCAAGCCCCACGACCGACAAAAAAAAAAAAAAAGTGTTGGAAAAGTGTGGAGAAAAAGGACACTTGCATACCGTTGATGAGGATATAAATTAATGCATTTATTTTGGAAAAAAATAGAGATGTCACTCAAAAGCTAAAAATAATATAATCCAAACAATCTAGTTTTCTCACTTCTAATATAATTGAAATTGATCACTTTAAGGGAATATGTGTACTCCCATATTTAATTTAGCATTATTTACAACAGCTGAAAACTAGAAGTTTATTGTCCTCTGCTGACCAGTGGATAATACAAAGTGGTGTTTATGCATGCTGGAATACTATTTAGCCTTCAAAAAGAAGTAGATTTTTCTACTCACTACAACATAGATAGAACTGTTACACGTAATGTAAGTGACATAAGCCAGGCAAATGACAAATGATCCTATTTGTATGCAGAAGCTGGAATGCAAAGTGGTTTCTAGAGGCTTGGGGCAGGCAAGAAAACGGAAAGAAAGGATTTTGATCAGAACACAAATATTCAGTTAGAGGGGAGGAATAAAATTTTAATACTCTATTGTGCTGCATGAAGGTTCAGTTAATAGTATTGAATAATTCAAAATTGTTAAAAATATATTTTTTGTGTTCTCACCATAACATAATTGGTAAGGAGAGATGTTAAATAGCTTGATTGAATCATGCTGCAGCATCTGCATATATTTACACAGCACAAAGACCTGAAAGAAAAGGCAATGGTTTTGGAAGTATGATTTTAAATGTGGATGCTGGTATTATTTACCATAGCTAAGATATGGAACCAACCCAGATGCCCCTCAGTAGATGAATGGATCAAGAAAATGTGGTATATATACACAATGGAATTCTATGCCTCCATCAGAAAGAATGACATTGCCCCATTTGTTAGGAAATGGAAAGGCTTGGAAACAATTATATTAAGTGAAGTAAGCCAAGCCCAAAGAAACATAGGTCTCATGGTTTCCCTTATTTGCAATATCTAGTATATGTATGAGTCAAGCAGAAAAGGTCAGATAATGTGATGTTAGGAAAATGAACCCTTAGATATGTATTTAAATGTTTTTTTCTTTCATGCATTTGTTTCTAACGCATTTATAAGATGATTTCTTTGTTGCTTTGTATGTCCCTCCCCCACAGTATAACCCCTGCTTTCACTATATTTGATGTCAGTATAATTTGTGGAGGAGATGGGGAAAAACAAGTCGTTTAAGGATACAGGTGGACCCGTTGCAACAATGAGAAGTACAAGTTGTCATGTCGAAAACCAACTTTACAACTTTGGTGCAGGGGGCGGGGGTGGGGGGGGATTGGGTCGGGGGGCGGGAGGAGGAGGCTGCAATGCTTGATAAGAAATGTACTCATTATCTTGCCCATGTAATTCTAACCCCTCTGTATAGTATATTCACAAAAAATAAAAAGAAAATGTGGATGCTGGTGACCACATTCTATGCCCTGTCAAAGGAAATCTGCTTTATTCTGTTCTATGTAAACACATTGGTCCCTCAGAGTGCTACTTTGTTCTTGCAGCCTGTTTGAACAGGAACTGCTTACTCTAGAGCAGCATGCCAATCTCAGGTGTGCAGAGTTATCCTTGCCCTGATTTAGAGGGACAAAGTTAATAGATACTGGTTTATGTTGTAGTAAAAACCCAGGAAGACATTTTTAAGGGATGCATAAAATATAGATAATATTTTAGAAACATGTCTTCCTGAGCATTTTAACTTTATATTAGGTGAGTGCTACACCACCTAGCTATACCTTCATCTCAGAATTTTATAGCTGTTATGACTGATATTTTCTCTTGCTCAAGTCACTTGACTTTCCAAGTATCAAGTTCAGTCTCTCTGGAAAATGCCCATTTTTATCATCCTTGTATACTCATTTTTAAAAATAGTACTGCACGTAATATAATTTTTTCCAAGTCTTTCCATCAAGTGAAGTAAGCCAGACCCACAGAACTATAGGTCCCATGATTTCCCGTATTTGCAATAACTAGTATATGTCTAGGATAATCTTACTAGACAAGCAGAAAAAGTCAAAAGCTATGCACATATGACCATATAAAATGATGCTAAACGAAATGAACCCCAAGAGGTTTTAACTTTGTCACTGTTGTTTTTAATGTACTATGTGATTTTTTTGTTTCTTTTGTATGTTCTTTCCCCATGATATAACCCCTATTTTCACTGTATTTGATTCCAGTGCCCTGCACCTTGTATATACATTTTTCTAAATTGGGGAGGGGAAGGGAAATAACAAAACTCTGGAACAAGGATACAAGTTGACCCATTGTAACAATGAGATGTACAAGACACTATGTTGAAAACGAACTTTACAATTCGGTGGGTGGGAAGGGAGGTTTTGAGGTAGTGGGGAGGGAAGTGATGGTAGGGGAAAAACAAAGG